GGTACCTGCGGTTGGCCATGTGGAGGGGGGGGCTAGGTTGAATCGACGACATGTTAACAATGGTGGGGGAATTGATCTTCATAAGCTCTTTATTGGCCGTCTCTGCCCTGATACTAGTGATGACGATATAAGAGCTCAATTTTCGCAGTTTGGGGAGGTGTTGAATTCAACAGTTGTTTGCGATAGCGTGGTTTTGGCTTCTGTACTTTTGCCAGCGAGGCGGTGGCGAATTACTTGAGAAACGTCATCGTATTAACAGTCAGAGTGTTGGTGTGAGGCTGTACTCGCAGGAGAAGTAATTAGGCTGTTTTGAGGTGTCCATGATTCGGGGGGATCGACGCGCATTGAAGTGTTGAGTAGGGATGAAGTCGCTCACTGCTGTTGTTAAGCGTGGTTGACGTTACTGCTTAGTTTTTGCACTTTATATACTGCTGAGCTATCGGGATCACAATCCCTTTGTGGTGTTGATGAGTTGGGTAGGAGTGATGCACGTCTGCTCTGCTGTTCATTGAGTGGCCCGAGTACAGCCAGTGTCATATGTGAACGAATGGACTTTCCATGATATCTTGTGTTACTAGTAGTAAGCACAGCTCATATGCTATTGAGTTTGGTGGTAGGGTTGGAAGGAAGCTCTCGTGTTGTGTAGCACTGCGAGGAATAGTGTATTCGATAGTAGGCGTACAGTGGATTGGCGAGCGGAGTCAACTTTGTGAATAAGCTTAGTCCAGTTTAACTTGCAGGAATGGTGGTTATAGATATCGTGTCGAGCTTGGCGGGACATAGTGTATTGTAGTGTAGGAAAAATGCACATTGTTAACTACATTACTGCAGTTGGTGACAATCCTGAGGAAATTTAGGGGGGATTCTGACCATTGGTTGCTGTACACTTCCACCCGAATTCGTATATAAACTATAATCATTTATCCGGTCACTATAATCAGTGAGAAAACTCTTGAGCTCAGCTGAGGAAAGCGAACATATATTCATACTCTAACAGTGATATTATATGCGGCTATCATTTTGTGGCATAGAGGTCTATCCGATGCGAATTGAAGTACCTTCAGCCTGAAGGCTTCAGGACGTTGTTATTGTCAAGTAGACTAGCGGCATGAATTCGGGTGGGAAAATGGACTTAGTTTCTGTTCATAAATCTCCTATTATGGAAGTCAACCAATACGTCGTTACGTTACATCATTTTCTTCACTTGTGTTAGAATTAGTAGAGCTTCCTTATGTGAAGGGGACAGCAGCACACAAAATGCTAGTAGCCTGTCTCGGCCCAGGAGGGTTTTAGCTAGCGTCAGTGACTTTTCCAACCTCGTCGTAGTATACTCACGTATAGGGATCTAGTCGCGAAAAACTCACGAATTTGTGGCGTTGATAGACGTTATTATTGTGTGACGGGTACTTCGGGTCGGGTGGAGCGGACCGAGGCATCATGAGGGTTGTTGGGATAAGACCTCAGCTGTGGGGGAATCGGTGATGGAGTTGATAGTGAGTCGTGATTAGTATGTTGTCTCTGATACTCGTGTGCCGTTGTTTTGTCGGTTTTTGTTGTTGTCGTGTTTTGAGTTGGAATTGATAATAGGTGGGTCCTTTAGTTCTTCGTTGTCCTTGTTTTCCCTGTTTATCATCTGTGAATTACTACCATGTCATCATCACCTAACTCGGCTGACTGCCATACGGTGTGCGATCTCGAAGAAGCCGCTACCAAGAGCCAGTCAACAGTATCGGCCGACCAAGATCTTCCCCCTAAGGGAGATGACGATGACAAGAAAGGTCACGTCGCCGGCCAGAACACTGAGGAGGCAGATGCAGGCAACTTGATTACTCCAAGCAAAGTATGGAAAGCCACTTCTCGAAGAGTTGAGGGGTGGTGGGCTAGCTTCAAGAAGGATCCCCGCTTCTTACTCGATCTGGTTATCGTATATGTATCGGTGATTGTTGACTTTATGGGTTACACTATGCTATCACCTGTATTTCAACAGGTCGTCCGAACCCTTGGAAACGGAGGGTTAGGCGACAGCCTGGGTGCTTCCATGTTGATGACATTCTACGCCATCGGACAGTTCATCACAGCGCTCATCTACGGGCCGCTTTCCGATCGATACGGCCGTAGAATTGTCTTTGTTATCGGCTATACGTTCGCTTGCGTATTTTATATACTTCTAGCCTGTGCTTGGGATTACTGGTCCTATGCTATGTTCCGATTCTGTGGTG